AGGACTGTTGGTTTGGACATATATTCCTTGATTTTGTCAAAGGCTTTCTAGCATTCTTCAGTCCAGTTTGTTGCAGCATTTTTCTTCAACATTCTGAAAATCGGTTCACAAATCACAGTTGATTGTGCTATGAAACGGCTGATATAGTTGAGACGCCCTAAGAAACTCATCACATCTTTCTTGCTCTTTGGAGGTGGCAAGTCTTGGATAGCTTTGACCTTTGACAGGTCTAATTCAATCCCTCAGCGATTGACGATGAAAGCTAGCAATTTTTTGGTAGGGACTCCGAAGGCACACTTTGTAGGATTTAGTTTCAGAGTGTACCTTCAAAGCTGATTAAAGAATTTTCTCAAGTCTGCTATTTGATTTGCGTTTCTTCTGGATTTGAAGTGACGTCATCCACGTACAACTCTATTTCCTTGTGCATCATGTCGTGGAAAATGATTTTCATGGCTCTCATGTAAGTGGCTCTAGCATTCTTTAGGCCAAACAACATCATTTTACAGCAATACATCCCCATGGTGTCCTAAAGGCTGTCTTTTCGACTTCCTCTTCGTCTATCTAGGTCTGATAATACCCCACGAAGCAACCCACAAAAGACTGGAGCTCACTCTTGGCACAGTTGTCGATCAGTATGTGTATATTGGGCTACGGGAAATCATCTTTGGGACTTGCTCTATTTACATCCCGATAATCGACACATACTATGACCTTCCCATCTTTCTTCAGAACTGGCACAATGTTAGCCAACCAGGTCGGATGTTCGACCACTCTGAGAACCTTGGCATTGATCTGCTTGGTGACTTCTTCTTTTATTTTTAGACTCATATTTGGCTTGAACTTTCTTAGCTTCTGCTTTACAGGCGGACACGCAGGATTGGTGGGTAACTTGTGAGCCACTATCGATGTGCTCAGGCCGGTCATATCATCGTAAGACCATGCAAAAATGTCTTCATATTCCTTCAGGAATCGGATGTACTCTTCCTTCTCTGATGGTGATAGGTGAATACTTACACGTGTTTCCTTAACTGTTTCAGAGTCCCCTAAGTTAACTGTCTCGGGCTCATCCAAATTAGACTTAGGCTTGTTATCAAAATTTTCCACTTCTTTGACAATTTCCTCGGGTATTATATCTTCTTCCAAGTCCTCTGAATAACTATCCTTATGTTGCTTGTCTCATTACATGTCACAATCGTATGTTCATCAGGATAAGTAATAATAACACTATAGAGAAAATGTGAAGGATAATATTAAATACTAAAATAGCAATGCATTAAATAAATCTTAAAAACATCAAAACAAGTACAGCTCGATGACTCGAGCAATTATTTCGAAACAGAATACATTGAAAACAAAACACTGAAAAATGTCTTACATGCTCATAAAATTGCTTTTCAAAAATAAATGATGCTAATTGCTAGGCTACGCAGGAACTGGACGGGCCCAGGATAATGCAGTAGTCCTGTTCTTGAGAACATCTCCTTTCTCCATAATTCGAATTGTAAGGTCTTCCTCCTCCCCCTCCTCAACTATCACACTGTAGTCCATATCTTCATTATCCAGAAATAGACTCCTTATGCTAGCTAAAACTTCATCTTCTTCAAACCCCCATATCACGTCAGCTTGTTGAAATGTCTGGTGCAAATGCGGTACTGGTTGTTCCAGAGGATAATAAGGACCACGCCATGGTGGTGACCACGCCCAAAAGTTGTACCATGACGCTTTGGTTGCACTAGTTTTGTGATCCCTTGGAGATTCTTGCCGAGACCCTTGTCGGGTTCATACCTTGTCCATAGCAATATGCTTTCTATCTTGTTGCTCCACCATTTGTCTTTCTCAATTGCGTTGACGTGCTCAATGTGGTGGTATGTTTCTCCACCCAACTTCTTTCTGTTCTCGATGACCGGAACAATTTGACTGGTATAAATGGGATTACTCCCGAATCCATGGGTGATCACTTCCTGATGATTCCATTTAAACTTCACAGCCTGATGTAGAGTAGAAGCTACAGCCCCAGCAGAATGTATCAGGGTCGTCTCGATAGTAGATTGTAGGTTGCAGATATATCCAACACTTGAAACTCGACATCAAACCAGGTTGGGCCCATCTTTAGGCTGAGGTTGATCTCTCCAATTGTGGCCCTTTGCGACCCATCAAATGCTTTCACATTCATACTCCCTGTTCGTATCTCATGCAAACCCTTACCCAACCTCTTCAAAGTAGTCATCAGACATATGTTGAGACTCGAACCCCCAACTATCAGAACCCTGGCAATGAATTTGTCCTCAAATTGCACTGTGATATGTAGTGCCCTATTGTGGCTCAGTCTTTCCGGTGGCAGCTCGTTTTCGTGAAAAGTCATCATATGGCTTTCCAACACTTGTCCTTCCATGCTGGCCATTTCTCCACTGGTGATGTTATTGGGTACATAGGCTTCATTTAATACCTTCATCGCGGCATTTTGATGTGCCTCAAAGTTCTGCAGTAGTGATAAAATGGATATTTGAGCTGGGGATTTGTTCAGATGATCAACCATAGAGTATTCTCTCGCTTGCAGCTTTCTTGAAAGGTCATCCAGGCTAGTCTTAATGATAGGAGGCTTAGAGGCAGCTTCTTTGCTTGTTCCTCCCAAATGTTCGGGTGTATAAACCCTACCGGTTCTGGTCATGCCTTGTGCTGCACCTGTTTCTTCCATTTTTGCCTTTTCTTTCCTTCTTGCTCCCGCAACATAGTCCCATGGTATAGCTTTAGACTTGTAAGATGGAGTGGGTGCTATCATCATAGTGAAGGGTATGGTTACCTCGACTTCAAACATTGGTGGTCTGTCTACCTCGACTTCAAGCGGTGCCTGGGTTTGTAACACAATGGGCCTGAGGGTGACTGGAGAGGTTTTAGGATCACATCCTTCCCGAATGAGTCCAATTGACCCTTTCAGATCCTATTCTTCATCAATCTCTATCACATTCACCCCCCCTCTATGATCGGGGAGAGGATTGTTACGAACATTGGGCACAACCTCCTTTGCCTGTATGACTTTAGTGTCAATTAATGTCTGGATCTTGTCGTACAGAGTGCGACACTCATTAATGGTATGGGCCTTCATGCCCGAGTGATAAGTACATGTCTTGTTTGGGTTAATCCACTGAGAAAAATTGTCCATGGCAACAGTGGGAATGGGAGTGACATACCCAGTAGCCTTCAGTCTCTCACATAATTGGTCTATGGGTTTAGCAATGGGAGTATATTGTCTGGGTGGTCTGTGTTCAAAATTTGGTCTGGGTTTTTGGTAATTTTGGCGGGTTGGTGGTGATGAGCGATAATATGCGGGTTGGGTGTTATAAGTGTGGTAGGTGGCAGCAAGTTGTTGATATCTGGGGGGTGAAGGCTGGTATGTGTGCGTAGGTGTTTGGTATGTGAGAGGAGACTTTGGACCTTGGGCTGACATTATTGCACCAACTTCTTTCTTCTTAGAGATACCTCCCGACTGCAAAAGTTGTATTTGTGGCTTGGAGTGCTTCGAAATTCTTCACCATTCCGCTCTTAGTTCCTTCTTCAATTCTTTCTCCCAGTTTGATGATGTCAGAGAACTTATGGTTTTCAATAACCATCAACCTTTCATAGTTTGTGGATCTTGAGCTCTGATGAAGAACTTATTCATCTGTTCTTCTTCAAGTGCTGATTTTACCTTCGTAGCTTCAGACCTCTGGTGCATTTTCTGTGTTGGACCTGAATCGGTCCATGAAGTCTGATGCCATGCTCACCCAATTAACCCACTTCTTTGCGTTCTGACTGATGTACCAAGACAAGGCATCTGCAGTGAGGCTCCTCATGAACAGCTTCATACGGATCCGTTCGTCCTTGCCAACCCCTGCAGCTTGTCACAAAACGTTCTCACATGCACCTTTGGATCACCTGTTCTAGCGAACATTTCGAACTTAGGAGGTTTGTAACCCTCCGACAGTTCTACATCTGGCTGAATACACAAATCCTCATAGTTCAAACCCTCAGTGCCTTTGCAACCTTCGACGCTTTAAACTCTGCCAGTAAGCTTCTTGAGTTTATTGACGGCAAAAATTCTCTCTCTAATTCACGTGCTCTAACTCGAACACTCCGCCACAACGGTCACCTAGGCCGGTAACGGCTAGTTCCTACTATTTCCGGTGACCACCATGGACACCACCAGAGGCCCCTCAAGCTCTTCCCAGATCCCCCAATCCCCTGACCCACGAGATTTGTCACCCAACAGTCAAACCCCAAACATCTAAAATTCTCAAATCCCAAATATCCAAGATTTTCCACTGCTGCTGAGAAAATTCATGGAGGTAGATAACAACTGAAATCAAATCCAAATGGACTCTTATGCAAATGCGTTAGGGCTTAAGATTGGAAATAAAACAAAATTGAAAGTGAGACTACCCCCCAGAAAGCATGAACTGATAGATGGAAAAGCAGTGGTATCTTCACCAACGAAGAGCACGACCTGTTAGCAGAAACTTGCCGATGGACCATTGTCAGTAAGTTCATAAATAGCAGACCTTCAATCGACATTATTCGACCTGAATTTGCTAGAACAGTTACTACTAAAGGCGAGGTTAAAATTGAAGCTAAGGACAGATTCCATGTCTTCATTGATGTTGAAAATGAAGAAGACTTCAACAATATATACGCTATGGAATTCATTCCCCTAGATGGAGTGATCTATATGAAAATTACCAAATGGACAACAAAATTTAAGCCTAGATCTGAATCGTCCCTAGCTCCAATTCGGATTAACCTTCCAGATATACCATGGCACTATTATGAATGGGATGTTCTGTGTTGGATTGTTAGCCCAATAGGGATACCATTGGTGATGGACAAGGCAACAACCGCGAAGTCTAGGCCCACAACTGCCAAGCTTAGAGTTCAAATTGATCTTTCTAAACCTCTACATCATATGGTAAGAGTGGAGGTTAAAAATTAATTTGGCAAAGTGGAAACTTTTGACCAAAAGATCGAGTATGAAACTATGCCCACCTATTGCTCACACTGCAAAGTTCAAGGGCACTCTAGAAAAATGCAGGGCTGTTCAACATGAAAAGCTACAAGAAGGAGGACAAACTAGGCTGGCTGGGAAGGAAGATAATATGGCACATATCACTCAACAAAGTAAGGTTAAACAGACCACTGGCAACAACCAAGATCAAAGAAGGCATGTAGAACAAATGGAGCCTACAGGCACTGAACCTCATGAGGGAAGAATGTACAAACAGACCGCTCAAAATGGCAAATGGCAAAATGTCGAAAGAAAAATATACAAAGGGATGAACAACAATGGGGCATCGATGGGCCAGCAACAAAATAAGAGCAACAACAATGAGAAGGTCACAGAGCAAAGAGCAAGCCAGGGAAACAACAGAACAGAGGTCAACAACTCCTTCAATCTCCTACAAGAAGGAATAGAGGATGGTCAAATGGATACGACAATCTGTAAGAATGTAAGTATGGAAGAACATGACTCTAAACAAGACCACCAAGGTACACAACAACAAGAAAGAACTACAAGGTGGGACAAAGTTCAAAAAGACAAACAAAAGGAAAAAAGCAAAAAGTATCAAACTGGACTTAACCTGAGAAGTGCTAGAACAAGAAATGCTACCAAAAACAACAAAGTCGATACAGAACTACAAGGATAGATGATCAGTTTAGTCATCAAATACCCAAAGGAGTGCAAGGATTTGCAAAACAAAAGAAAAAAATTTACAAAGACAATAAGCATTTCAGAGGGCATTACTATACAAGGAGAAACTAGAGATAGTAGTGGAACAATCAACAGAAATGGTACTGAAGGAAAGGGCACATGGACCCCTATTAACATCCGAGGAGATGTCTGGAGCTAATAGATTGGAAGATATAAATAGTGAGGGGCAAAACAAAAAACAAAAAACAAGAATGTAGATACAACAGTAATCATGAACCAACCGACCTTGATCCTTCAATAAAGGGAGAAAGAGATGAATATGAGGAAGTCTTCCATGACCTAGATGATATGGAGACAGACTTGACAATAATCAACAAAGAAGAAAAAAGAAAAACTCAATCTGATGATGAAATCAGTAGAGTCAATATCAGCTCAGCTAACCAGGAATTGGAACATGCTGAGAGCACACCAGTCCAACAAAACATCCTCTTCTACAACAATCTATCACCCAGGAGCTACCAAAACCAGGGTGTAGATTTCATTCAGGAATGCCAGACCACAAAAGGAATCAAGGAACAGCAAAGAGAACCTACCCCTATAAGTTTCAAATGATAGACACACCATCATGGAATATAAGAGGAACAGGATCTGCAGGATCTCTGGAGACATTCCGAACTATCAAACAACAATTTCAAATACCTTTGATCTATTTACATGAGCCTCTTGTAGACAGTGGAAAAATGGATAGATATAGAAGGAAACTAGACATGAATCAAGGTTTTTTCAACTACTCAAACAAAATTTGCATATTCTGGACTGCTGAAGTGGATGTTAATATAGTTCAAGATAAGGAGAAACATGTCCTGATTAGTGCAAAATATCTCAATCACCATACTATCTACCTAATAGTTGTATATGCTAAATTCAACGAGGAAAGTAGAAGAGAATTATGGCAGGACCTAAAAAACACATCCAACAACATTCAAGGAGCTTGGGGTGTCATTGGAGACTTCAATGTTATCACCTCAAGTGAAGAAAAAAAAAGGGGATAGAAGCTACAGAATGGAGAAAAGCCTAGAATTTATATAATGCCTTTATGAGTGTGGTCTTCAAGATGCAGGTTTCACAGGGTCAATATATACATGGTGTGATAACAGAGATCCTCCTATAACTATATGGAAGAGATTGGATAGACTTGTCTACAATAGCACTTGGTTTGATACTATATCCAAGACCTCAGTTACTCACCTCTCAAGAGCCTGTTCTGACCATTCCCCTGTGATTGTCAAAATGAGTAATGAGGTTACTAACCATATCAAATATTTCAAATTCCTTAATTTTTGAACTGAACACCAAGACTACACCAAGGTAGTGAAGGATGCTTGGGAAGAAGCTGTGTATGGGAACCCTATGTATACACTCCATCAGAAAATCAAAAAAATGTGTAAAGCCCTTAGTGTGTGGTCCAGACAGGCTTTTGGGGATATCTATGAGATTCCCAAAAGATTGGAAGCAGAAATAAGAATCCTGGAGGATTATTGTGTTAATGATAATTCCTCAGAGAACAGAAGTGCTCTCTATAGATGTAGAGCTGAATTCACTAGATACTACAAGATTCAAGAATGTATTCTGAGGCAAAAAGCTAGAGACAAATGGTTTAAAGAAGGTGATGCCAACACTGCTTATTTTCATAGTGTTATAAAAGAAAAGAGAAGAAGACTGACCATTAATAAGATAATGAATGACCAAAACCATTGGCTGGAAGGAAATGATGTTACTGCAGAAGCAGCTGTGAGGCACTTTCAAGGGATGTTCACTCAGGAAGCTCACAACAATAATTACAATGCTCTTGACTGTATAGAGAGGTGCATCACTGATGAAGACAACAACATGCTTAAAGCCATTCCTACTATGCTTGAAATTAAAGAAGCTGTGTTTAATATGGACAAGGACCGAGTGGCTATTTTTATCAATCTGCCTAGGATATTATATGCAATGATCTTCATAAGTCAGTGGAATCCTTCTTTCAAGGTGCTAAACTCCCTAAGTTTTTCACGCACACTTGCTTGGTAATGATTCCCAAAATAGTTCACCCTAAAAAATTCTTAGATTTCAGACCCATAAGCCAACACCTCTAGTAAAATCATCTCAAAAATCCTTAATAGCAGAATCTCTAACATCCTCCCAAAGCTTATATCCAGAAATTAATCAGGCTTTATAAAGAGGCGAGCTATTACTGAAAATATCCTATTGGCCCAGGAAATCATAAATGATATTAAGAAGCCTGCTCGAGGTGGAAATGTGGTTACTAAGCTTGATATGGCTAAAGCTTACGACAGGGTCACCTGGGAATTCCTTTGCATTGCGCTTAAAAAGTTTGGTTTCAGTGAGTGGTGGATTCATTTTATTCACAGCTTCATATCTAACAATTGGCACTCTGTTATTGTAAATGGAGGAAGGCATGGTTTCTTTAAATGTAACAGGGGACTGAGACAAGGTGATCCAGTCTCACCATCTCTTTTCATCATTAGTGCTGAACTTCTTTCCAAAATGCTGAATAATCTTTCATGATAGACAAGGTTACAAAGGATTCTACATGAGTGCCAATGGTCCCAAAATAAACCACCTTTCTTTTGCTGATGATACTATCCTTTTTTGCAATGGTAGCAAAAATCCCCTTGAAATGGTCTTAAAAACCCTTGAAACATATGAGAAAATCTCGAGCGAGCTCATAAATAAGGAGAAAAGTTGCTTTGCCATAGCTGATAATGCCAATGCTACTACCATTAATAGACTAAGGACTATTACTGGTATGAACCACCACCACTTCCCCATTAAATACCTTGGGTGCCCTCTTAGAATCGGAAGAAAGAAAATTTGCTATTACTCTGATATAGTCAACGAGATTATCAAGAAGATTAGAGGATGGCAAACAAAGTTCCTATCTACAGGTGGAAGAGCAATTTTGATAAGGCATGTGTTACTGGCCTTACCAGTACATCTTCTTGCTGCAAAGGTACCATTGATATCATAGAAAAATATATAGCAAGGTACTTTTGGTCGGGGAATGATACAGGTGGTAAATACCATTGGACCTCTTGGAACAATCTGTGTTACCCTTATAATGAAGGAGGTGCCAATTTCAGGTGTTTATCTGACATTTGTCTTGCTTTCCAAAGCAAGCAATGGCGGACACTGAGAACTACAATCTCTATCTGGAATGAATTCATGCAAGGAAAATATTTTCACAACTACCACCCTTCTAATGAGAAATGGACTTCTGGGCAATCTCAGAGCTAGAAAACTCTATGCAGTAATAAGGAAGAAGTGGATGACTACATTATCTGGAACATTGGTAAAGGAGAGATGTCATTTTGGTACGACAATTGGTCAAAATTAGGACCTATACACCTTCTACTTCAAGACACAAATACTCAGAACCAGATCAGAGTTAATGAGGTCCTCATTAAGGGAATTGGGTCTGGGACAGACTTCATGTGCAACCAGATGAAGATACTAAGAGGAAGATCAAGAGTCTGAGCATCAAACTATGTAGAAATAGTTTGGACAAAGCCATATGGATGCCAGGCAACACAGGGCAATTTATTGTGAGCTCTGCCTGGGAAAATTTTAGACAGAGGAAGGAAGTGAACAATTTTACTAGTGGAGTTTGGCACAAAGAAGTTCCTTTCAAGATCTCCTTCCTCACTTGGAGATCTATTCAAGATAAACTGTCTACAGAGGATAGAATTGCTAGATTTGGGATTGAGATTGATCCTGTTTGCCACTGTTGCAACAATAGCGACCAAAATGCCACAACCGAGAATGTAGATCATCTTTTCTGCCTGGGTGAACATGCTAAAAAGATTTGGAGATTCTTTGCTGGTCCTCTGGGCATATACTATAACAACATGAACCACAAAATGCTCCTTCTCAAATGGTGGAACTTCAAGGCTCACAATGCATTGCAAAACTCATTACTAGAATTTTTACTCTTAGAATTTGTTGGGAGTTATGGAAATCAAGATGTAGCAAGAAATTTGAGAACATTAGGCCATCATTTTACAGAACCAAAACTAACATTTTGTTTACTCGTGAGCAAATATTAAACAACAGATTTGGCAGAGCAAGAATAGGAGATGATTGGCAATCAATATGTGTGGCATGTGAAGCAGTGATTGAACAAAGGATATCCAAAATTATCAAATGGATCAAACCCCCACCCCAAACTATTAAACTTAATAGTGATGGGAGCTTTATTCAAGGAATGTATGGAGGTGGAGGCCTGGTCAGGAATAATCAGGGAATAGTTATTTTTGCCTACTCTATTCCCCTAGGACCAGGGACTAGCAATTTCGCAGAAGCAGCATCAATGCTCTTTGGAATCAAGTGGTGTGCAGCAAAATAGCTATGGACTATCCTTGGGAGAAACAAACTCAATGCTCCTTACAAAATGCATTAGAAGAGAGTGGAAAGTCCCCTGGAAGGTTGAGAGCATCATCACAGAGATTCAGGATATAGTTGAAGAGCATGGATTTGTTATCAACCATTGTTTCAGAGAAGCAAACAAACCTGCAGATAAATTAGCAAATCTCAGCCACAGTAGTGATATAATCCATGTCTTCAACTCTTTTGTTGATCTCCTTAATCAAGTCAAAGGACACGTCAACATGGATATATGGGATCTACCATCCTTTAGGATCAAAATATCCAAACCAGGGCATGTCATATATGACCCGCCATAGTTTTTGTATAGTTAACTACAATTTTGGTTAGGACTAACATCAGTAGTCTCACCTCAATGATCATGTACAAAGTTTGGGATGCCAAACTCAAATTGTAACTTTTTGCACATAAATGATCAACAACAACAACAACAACAACAACAAACCCAGTATGTTCCCACGAGGTGGGGTCTGGGGAGGGTAGTCTGTACGCAGACCTTACCCCTACCTAACAGGTAGAGAGGCTATTTCCAATAGACCCTCGGCTCAG